ATTTGCTTGACTTCTTGGAAATGGAATCAACTTTGTGGCCTCAGAAATTCCGAAAGTATATGAGTCGTGTTTGCTGACATGTACAATACTGTGGGGTCAGCAAGAAAGTAGTATTTTTACTCAGCAAGGATGCATCAAATTATATATATATATATTTTTTTTAAATAAATGCTGTTCTTTTGAAATTTCTATTTATCAAAGAAAAAAATCCAGAAAAAAATTATCACGGTTTCCACAAAAATATGTGTATGGTCAAATAAATGCAGCATAAGAGACTTAAAAAAAAAACATTCTTTTTTACTTCTGCATTTAAATAAAACCTCATGTGAGAAATATGTAAATACAAGTAATGCAAACTTGACTAAACTTGACTTAAATGCAGGGTATGCGATTTTTTATAAACACTTTTTGTTATTCTGGATGAAACTCACTTCACATCCTAGCAATCAATAATAGAAGCGGTCGTCTCTTCTAAACATGTACATATATCTTCTGTGGAAGTCTCAGGACCAAAAAATGTTCGTCCAATCATTGCATTCGGTCCGATTGCAATAATAGGATGTCCTGCCTGTCAACATATGTATTTCCATATACCTCCGCACACCCTGCTCGCGCAGACACAATATGAGATCTTTTGTTATATTTCTGACGTGGCATGAACGCACCACTATTGTCACACCTTTGAATACCGCTACGCCAGTAGGCTATATAGAGTCTGCTTCTCGTCATTCCTTCACATAACAGTCAAAAACCAAGAAAACCACCCACTTGTGATGCTTTAAGTCTGTGATACATGAGAGAGACCACTGATGGGCATCTGTGCCAGTGGCATTATTATCAACTGCTAGGCTCTGCAGAGTTTGAGAGGCACTTATATGCAGTTCTTAGTCAGCTGGACAACCCCAGGGACAAGCAAAGTGGAGCAGTTGTTGAGGAAATTATCCTTTTTCCTGGCTCTAAGGCAAGGGAATACTGGGTTACAGTGTGAGAAACCTGTGCGGTTGTGTTTGACTGGCTCTTTGGCATCTCCCAGTGGGAACACCACACCCCTGCTCTCTATATGGCTTTATGCAGGTAACTGCATTAGTAAATAGTCCTTAGTTTTATTATTTTAAGTATGTTTTATATTTATCATTATATGGTCTGATGCATTAATATGGTAAGGTGATAGCTGAATGGATTGTATAAACACACTGTGGGGAATCAACCACCCTGTGTTATTTACAGTAACTCTTCCGGCATGCATGTTTCAGTCTATACACCAAGCAACAATGGAAACAAACACAGGAAAACACAATTCCTTTGCTGCTATAGTCACTAGACTGATTCTGAGCGCCACTGGCCATTTCTCAGTCTAAAGGAAGCCATCTTGTACAACATACACCCCAACATGAACAATAATGAATAATCACCATTAGATATACTACTGTTCAAAAGTTAGATTTAAAAAAGATATATACAAGTCTGTTATGTTCACTAAGGCTGGAGTTATTTAGTAAAAAAATACAGTAAATTCAGTAAAATGCTGAATTTTCAGCATCATTACTCCAGTCTTCAGTGTCACATGATCCTTTAGAAATCATTTTAATATGCTGATTTGATTCAATGCTCAGCATTTAGTATTATCAATGTTGAAAAATATTGCTGCTTTTGTGGAAACTGAGCTCTTTGATTAATATAAAGTTTAAAAGAACAGCATTTATTTGAAATATAAGAACATAACTGTTTTTACTGTCACTTTTGATCTATTTAACACATCCTCACTAAATAAAAGTAAAATAAAATTCTTTCTGACTCTAAACTTCTGAACAGTAGTGGATGATTAAGCAATTTAGCAGCTTAAAATGAAGTAAAGTTTTGAGAATATTGTCTAACCACATAAAAATGTGTCTGGAGCTTGATGATGTTTTCTCATGATGTTTGAATAAGACCCTTTTTAGTGTAATCCTATACACTGCACTGACCCGGATATCTCCCTCATTGATGTGAAAAGCACGAACACAAAACAGGATGTCCGAGGGAGGCAGTTCCTGCATGGATGTAGTCAGCCTGGTGCAGGGTCACTGGAATCAGCGGGAGTTCTTTAACATGCCGGCATTCGCCTAAGGAACCTCTAATACACGCTACGTTTGATGTTTATTTTTACAAGGCATTTGGAAGATTGATTGTTCCTTGTGGCAGTGATTTAAAAAACTTAATTAAAGCAAATGGAGGTCAACAATGATAGTTATGAGGTGACAGATGACACGGCACAGAGTTACATGATATGACCAAGACATTTTCTAACTTATGGCACAAAACGTGTCACTTCAAACATTCAATACACTGTAAAGCCATAATAACAGACATCATCAAGTGCACCTGCAGTGGAGCGCGTGTGTGTGTTCCCGTCTCGCAGTACACCCTACAATTACTCGTCTAGCGCTTGGGTTTAAACTCTCACTCTACTGTGAACATCACCATGTTCAGACACATGTTTGAATAACAGCCCCGCACAGTTGTGAAGAATTTCTAGAAGTAGCTCTGGACTGCTGTCTGTGCTGTATTTATCTTGACCTAAATGTTGTGATAATATCACAATAGAATTAGCATATTGATTTATTTTTTCCCCAGATATACCACCATTTTTAAACGTTTTGCATGTTACATAAACATTGACTGCCACTGTCATATTTTATTTCTAAAATAATGAACCTACAGCCATACTTTGAAATGGCTTAAATCCTGTAGACTGCTGTCTACCTTCCCATAAAAACAAAATAAAGGTGTTCAGTCAAAAGTCATTTTGATGCAGCACTCAGTACCACATTGATTTTTCTCTAATGTCTAATGGCATTCTTAACTGCCTTTACATCAGCTCACACCATAAAGTTTTAGCAGGAAGCAGTGAAACGTGTCTTTGATCCAGTTTACTGCAGGAGGGTACATGTGCACTCATAATGAAAGAGTAATGAAGGAGTCGTGTTTCAGTCTGAAAACTGTCAAAGGCAAGTGAACGAAATATGGCTCTAAGAACTTTATTTTTGCAATTTGTAAATGGTCTAACTTTGCTCTAGATTACACTAAAGATTTTTATAATACACTCTTAAAAATAAAGGATTTGAAAACTGGATATTCTTGGGTAATTGGAGTATATATTAAATATACACAATATTATAAAACATAAGCGCTAATGCATGATTAAATCTATGCTTTCACATTATCTCCAAAAAGAGCATGTTGGTTAAATCCTGTTGAATCCATTTAAGCTTTGAATCAAATTGACCTTGGAGAAACTAGATATATACAAAGAACATGACCAGTCCTGATGTGGTTGTGGTCAGAACAGATGCTTTGACTCATTTTAAAACACAGATGTATAAAGACACAAGGTCTTATTCATTGAACATGGGGACTGGAAGGGGTCTTAAATGCGTTGTATGGCAATCTTCCAAAGAGTGTGCTGTCATGCACGTCTACCTTTAACATGATTTATGGTGGGAAGAGGGAATGTATTCTTTACATACACTGAGGAAACACAATATCCTGTTCCACTGCCAGACCTTCGCCCTATGGTCATACATACATTTCAGCCATCTTTTGATCTGTCTGTCATATGCCAGACCTTTAGGTTTGATTTCAGTCATCTAACCTACTCTTGTCTACCCTGCATGAGCCAAAGCTTAAGTTTAAACTGCACAGGATTTCGGATGGCAAATTATTTTTTTGAATTTGATTTTTTTTTAAATGTGTATTGGTTTCAAAATAACGGTCTGCCAACAGAAAATTGTTTTAAGTTTATTTTAATCACAGTATTCATGATTTTTACTCTCACCACATTACTGATGATAGTGATAGGGGAGACTGGGGATAGTTGTCACACGAGAAAGTTGTCTCAAGAGCTATCTCATATAACTATTCCAGTTACACAAAAGTGTGTTTTCTCTGGCAGAGGTTTCAAACTTTCAAACATTTGCATTTAGAAGATATAAGCAATCAAAACTCGCATTCTCTCACTTCCGCAAATATGGATCAATGATTTTGATGACATCACTCTGCACTTCAGCTTCTCATCAGATTTTCTGTCCAATCAAATGCTCTAGAATCTGAAGCGTCCTGCCCCCCACACTATAAATTGATGCTGAAGCTTCTGCTAAAATCGGTCACTTGTTTACACAATTACTATTTTCTACATGGTGAATGGCACATAGTCCACTATAAGGGATATGGAACGATTCAGACCGTGTAAAAATGCTTTCCATTGAGGCGATAGCACAGAGCGGATCATGCGCAGACCACAAAACATATCGGACATGGATTTGACTTCTGCACAGAATGCTGTATTTTAAAGCGATATGGACGAGATTAGGAAGGTAAACGGTTAGAGATTAAAGGCAGCTTTACCGAGTTCAACAGCTCAGGCCAAGCTGTGATATAAACTAAACGCTATTGGCTATTTAAAAAAAGGGGAGAAGCTGTTCTATATTTCCCGCCCTGTCTTCCTGTTTCAGTGGAAATAATGCTTCTTTTTTTTTTGCCAATAACTGTGTAAAAGGTTTCAAAACTTTTGTGTAACCAAAAATGTAAGGTTTGCGCTTATAGTAATAGACTTGAAATATTTGCTGGAATAAAAAGTTAGCTTCACTGCACCAGGTAGAAGAAAGCATAGAATATATCGATGTCTTGACGTATTTTGTTTGTTTGATGCAGAACTGAAGCAAAATTGTCTTAGTGCTCAAAGAATATAGAAAAAGTAATAAAGATTGTTTTGATCATCACACTTACTTGCTGTTGAGGTTTAATGACAAAAACGTACAATCTCTAAACAAAAAACCTCACTAACCACCCATTTCCCTTGCACTGTTTGTTTACTACCTGTAGATTATTTTCAGTGGAAGTCCAGGCGCGACCACGCCCGTATAATTAAAGGAGCGTTTTCATTGGTGCGCCGCCGCGCGCCTCCCCTGCGTCGGTTGCCGTGGGAGCCCGTAGACACCGAAGTACACATGCGGACTCGGAGTCGCGAGACATACGGAGAGGAGGCGTCCTGACACATTCAAACTGTGGGTTTACAGTTGTTGGATTAAACCGAATGAAGATGTTTCATTCTCAGAACTACATGTAGATTGAGATTCGTGTGAAGGCAGAAATGTCTGTACAGCACCGCTTGGTCCAACTGTCAGCCGCGTCGCTCGCTGTTGTTCTCAGCCGGGACGAGGACATCAAATACAGCGCGAGCAGCACTAACGGACAGGACGTGTTTGCGGATTTTAAGTCGCAAAATTCGCGAAGCTTCTGGAATAAAAGACTCGTGAAAGCGGTGGCGGAAGTTTCCTTCCAGGGATGGCTGGAGAACTACGTGCTGCTCGTCCAGGGCAATGCCAATAACTTGGAGGTGTTGAGGGAAGCGTGGATGCGCAGGGCGCTGAGGTCGCCCAAAGGATACACTATCCAAGCTGTAGGTAGGTGATCAACATTTGGATATTTGCAGGGGTGTTATATGATGTGAAATCGCTGGGTCACGCGCTCATTCATGAATGATCCGTAAAGCTTTGTCTAACGTTACATTGTTTCACTGTGCAGATGTAGTGCCATATCAGATGGCACTACAGAAGTTAATGAGTCCCACGAGAGCAAAATCTGAGGAAGGCTTAGGTTTAACATGTGTTTCTTCAGCTCTTTGTTTATGAGTGACATGGTGAAATTTGAAAAGAACACCTTTGGCCATGTTGGTTAAGCAGACATGCATTCTTAACACTTTTTTTTGTTTTGGCCAACAATGCTGTCCTGAAAGTTATAGCCTATGGTCAATGACTCATTCTTGTGTCCAGATCTATTAAGTTATTTATTTCATACATAAAAATTACTTGAATACGCATCTTCTGTGATGAACATGTTTTGATTTTTTTATTAAATGTCCTTTAGAAGTTTTTGTGGTGTACATTTCTGAAAAGAAATATAGTTTTTCTTAAAAGGCTGAAATTTGCAAATTAATAAAAAATATTGTCACAAGTTTGGCATAATATTTAATTATTATTTATAAAAAATAAACAGTGAAGCTATGTTTTAAAATATAATAATTACAAAACAAAAAAAGTATTAAACGGAGATGTTGGACCCTTAGATCCTGATGTCAAGATCATTAAATTTTTTTCTAAGAAAATTATGTATTTTGTGTCAAATGGAGTAACCCTAACACTTATGCATGAATCAAAACATGTTTAATCTTGAACCACATTTTTGAAAACTTTTTTTGATGGTAGTTATTAAGTTGTGTTCAGTCAAATGCATTCAAATGCACAGAAAGTATACTATGATGGTTACACTTTTTGAAATTTTTAGAGCCAATGGCTTTGTAGAAAATGCTATAAAAGTTTGCAAAAACATTTACATCATGAATTTCTAGGAAGTTAGGAACTTGGCATGTGTGTTTTAAGCTAGATTTTTAAATTATTTCTCCTTTTTATCATCTCAAAGATCCTTACTGACATTGACAGTTTTTATTAGAAAATCAAAATATAACCTTCATTTGAGCAGATCTCTATAGGGATCCTCATGCTCTATAGGAGACCAACATACCACTGTCCTCATGAATGCCTCTTCCTTCAACGCCTCTCTAAAGGTCCCCAGATTGTTTTTCCCCAGCTAACAGAAAACCACATAATTTCCGTTTGCTGTAGAAGGTAGCCTCTTAACCTAACCTGACCAACAATTCCCCATGAGACCTCAACATGCTTAAGGCATAACTGTGTGCGTGCAACATAAGTGCATTATTTCCAGATGACAGGAAATATGATTTCTGGGGAGCTGTGAGTCTTCTCTGACTCAATTTTCACTGCTCCGTTTTAGTTAACTTGCTAAAAAAAGGGTCATCGTGATTTGGTGTGGGTACAAAATTCATGCCCAGTGTTGCGTTGCTTATTATTGTGATTTGATAAGGGATGAAATTGTTTTCGTTGGTCACATGTTGAGGTGGCAGACTTTTGTGACAGTGTGGATTTCTGTTGCCTCAGGTGTCGCTGCTTCTGGGAGGGATCTGGTTTGCCCACTACAAACATGAAGCAGATTGTAAGAACCTCCATTTGCTCCTGCTGTCACAAGCAATGAAGGTGCATGTTAACACACTGTGTAGTATAGTGTGTAACCGGGGCATTTTTGAGCCAGGACCACACAGTAATGTGACTGGGAGTAGAGGGAGCTAAAACCCACAGCTATTTTCACTAGTTTAATTTTCTCTAGGAAATTGGAAGCACACCCTCATACGCATACAAATTGTTGAGACCTCAGGTCAGGTTGTCCATTGTGGTGAAATAAGCCCAGCAACAGTGTCTTTGTAATTTATTGCCCATTCACCAGAGCCCATAGTGCTGAGTTATGTCCTTTCCAGTGGTTGTCCACCAGCCGGGTTTATAGCTTAACCACTGGAGCCGATGTCCCTTGTTTCATTCTCAGGACGGTACCATGGAGTCTTTTTATTGTTGTCTGGAGACAGCGCCAGGACATTGTGTTGACAATGAAATGTCAGCTTGTAGATAAGATTTAGGTACGGTTTGATGAAAATATTGAAATGATATAAACAAAACATCACTTTAAAGGCCCTGATATACTCTCACAGCGAAGTTAGAAAAACCTTTGTTGCGATATACTGTTAGTGAACATCCAGATGCCTCCTACTATGCTGGGAACAGTGTTTAGATGAATATGTTAATATGTGTTGCACGCTTTTCACTCAATAACAAAAGAAGCACATAACAAAGACAGCGGTGAGAAAACCGCAGTTAAGAAAGTATCTGATCATAGCGATGTGGATATGTTCGATTTAGCTCTGCAATTCGGCACTCCTGTCAAATCACGTCACATTAATTTATAGCTTTACGGCATTAAACATGAAAAATAGCCTCAGAGCACACCTACCTATTACGTAATCACCACGGACCTATGGTAGTTCAAAGGTGTTTATACCAGCCGGAGCGAACTATCCAAGAGAGTCCGCTTTGGCGAGCTGTTTTGGTCTCAGAAACAAACTCCAAATGAACTTTGTTTTGGCCTAATTTTGTTTGAAATGACATCACACCAGTTCGTTCTTCAATTTCACATTAAGTAAATCGGGCCTTAAATATCACACACATTCAGTACTTTGAATTCTTTGAGTATTTTTCTAGGCCTGTGTTTGGTCAGCAGGAAAGGGTTAGTGGCTGTGATTACCCTTCAGCAGATGGGATGATGAATGAGCCTGCCTCGCTCTCTGTCCTCTTGATTATCAGTATACATTAAGTGAAAAGACGGATTGTTCACTGTGGCCTGCACTGCTTTTTTTGGCCTCTTGCTCGTAATACTCATGGACCTTTTCAGCTCACATTTTGAGCCTGCTGTCTTTTTTATGTTCCCTGAATCCCAATTGATATTGATTTTAGACCACTATTTTCGTGACTTAGGCCTATTAGTTAAGAAGAATCAAAAATCGTTTGTCATTTACTCAACTTCATGTCGTTCCAAACCTAGGCCTACGTCATGCTCTTATTATTTAAGTGGAGCACAATCCAGATCCAAAAATGCCATGTTGTCATAGTTTTAGCCAAAACGATAACGTAACACGCTTTTTGAATTCTGGACGCTAACATGGGTTAGACGCAAATATGTTTAATTTGTTTTGTCACACAAAGCTATGCCTTTAAATGGCTTGGGAATATAGTGAACAAGTCATATGGACTACTTTCATGATAGTTTTTATTTTATTTATCAGCCCCTCGTTACTATGAACTGTGATGTTATATGACGACGACAAGTGGGCATAAAGATGGCATGTTCCATAGAAATAATAACATTTGGGAACGGCAAATGGGTGAGAAAAGAAAATATTGACACAACTGTCTTTTTTGGTGAATCAATTGTCCTTTAGGTGTCGAAGAAGCAAAAGCAAGTTGGCAGGTTTCTAAAAATGAAAAGCTGAACAGTTAGTAATGCAGTGGAGAAACTGGACTTCACTGGATGTGCAAATCGGCCTGTGGCCTTGAACTACAGAGAATTCTCTATGCATCATTCATAACATAAGTAAAGCTGTATAAAATTGGAGGCATAGAAATAATGTGCATTGAACTTGAGATTTAGGATGATGACAAGCATTTGGAGAAACAAGAAATTCAAGAATGCCTCACCCTTTTCCGCCTGTCTGTTGAAATCTGAGGTGCTTACAATGGCTGAAGTCTGAAGTCTCTGCATTATTGAGGAGCTTTGGATCATGTCGTCATTACTCAGCGGGGTATAACATCTATGCTAAGTTCTAATGAGGTGTTCAGTAGGGTTGAGCACAATTAATCACTGATATGTTCAATAACTTAACTTTGTTTGATGGTAGACATTTATATATTCAAACCTAACTGTGATACGTGTTCTATACATGTTCTCTGGAGTGCCCCTACCAAAGCAAACTGATTTGTTGGAGGTTTATGCAATGCAGACCACATCTCTCAGATCTCAGCTCATTAGCCGTGACATGGCATCGTGCTGGACTCTTTTATCCAGAGGTCAACACCCTGCAGTTCTCAGGCATTGAAAGTTGCCCTCTTGGTTAACAAGACACCAGAGGTCATCGCTCCCCAGTGCTTTCCTCAAAGATGTCATTGCTGACCACAACACTTCCAGGTGTGCACCGTAAACAGAGGAGGCACAGTTCAGCCAACATGTGTTTGTAAAACAAACAAAAGCTTTCTTATTCCCATGAAAGCATATCTTTCTTTCACTTGAGGAAAAACCTATAAAAGCCAGAAAGAAACTATTGTAAGACTCTTAAATTAAAGGAATGCAATCAAAAGTGGCATTCAGTATCACCACAAGCAAAGACTCCAGGATGTATGAAAATATTTATTTAAATCGTTTTGAGTAAATAGAATAATTATAATAGAATGGGTTGTTACTAGTAGTTACACAGTAAGCTATTATAATTTTGAAAATAAAATTACTTTTGAGATTAAATTAAAATGGCATGCAGTATCATCACAAGAGAAGAGGATAAACATGTGGGTTGCTATTGATTTATTTCAATGTTTTTTAAGTAAATACAATAATCCACATGTTTTATAGTTACACAGAAAACTGTTATGATTTTAAGATCTTTGAAATTAAATTGCATGTTGTATCATCAGAAGCAGAGATTCCAGAATAAACATGTGGGTTCATATTTATTTACTTTTTTAAACCCGTGATTTATAGATCCTTAGAAAACTCTTGTCATTTTGGACTATATTTAATTTTAAGTTTCATCACAGGCAGAGATTCATTCCAGTATAAACATGTCAAGTATTTGTATTTATGTAAAAGCTTTTTTTCTTTTCTTGTTTGTTTAAGTAAATTAACTAGTCCATGTGGTCAGAATAAAAGAGATGCATATACATGCCCAGTTTTGGGAGATAAAGGTGGAGCTGGATCTGGTTTCTAAAAGAAAGCAACCAATGGAATGTTTTCC